TGATGAGCTTTAATCTTATTAGAAGTTCTAATTATATACTCAAAATAATATTGAATTTGACCAGAATATTTTCTGTTAAATCAGTTTTCAATTTTCTAATGGGTGTTTTAGGATAAAAATCTAATTTTTAGCTAAAAAGTTGTAATATTTATGTGTTTTTAAATAAGGTGTTAAATGAATTATTGTATTAAATATAAAAAATAAGTTTAAAATAAATATTTAATTATATAAAAATAGGATATAAGAATTTATGATTATTATTAATATAAATGTTGAACAATTTTTTTTTTATATTATTAAATGCCATTATTATATTGGAAAACATTAAAAAGTTTTTCTTTTAATTGAAAAAAGTTTAAATAAATAAATATTATAATTTTTGCATCATTCTATTTGATATATAAAATTTTTAAAATATGAATATTATATTATTTTTTTTAGATTGTAGTAGTATATATTATGAACTTTAAAATTAACAATTTAAGGTAAAAAAGAGTAAAGGTATTTGTCATCATTCATTTAACCATGTAATTGAATCCTGATTATCTCCATTAAATAAAGGTACTTGTGCGATGTTATGGCCGCGGGCTTGTAAGGCGTTATTGTTGGCAGTAACCGTGGCGTTTAAGGTATTCATAGCATTGCTGAGATTAGGCGCTGTCATCTGTCCAGTTTGTGCTTGTACAGCCGCTGTTAAAGCTTGAATATATCAAATTCTTTAAAATCTTTTATATGGCTTAATAATTTGTGTGAATTAATACTTTAGATAAATTTTCTATAAAATTTTCATTTTACATTTCTTTTGTGATCTCCATTATTGTTTTCATTCTATGATCCAAAAGAAAAGAGGATCTTCTATCGAATTGGAATGCTTTTTATATAGAATAAATGAAACTAGATTCTGATGAGCCTAAATCAGATCTAATAAATGATCTTTGATTGATCTACAGCTTTTGTAAATTTAGCAATTAATTTCTAACATGTAAGGTCTAAAGATTGTAACTAGTATATATTAAATTTATCTGTAATTCATTTCTGTTTAAGAATCGCTTACCGAAAATTTGATGCTGTGGTTATTAATATTCCTGTCAGAGAGAGACAGAAAGAGAGAGAGAGAGAGAAGAGTTCTAACTACTTTAATTGTTTGTATATAAGAATAAGTTAGGTATATAAATTATATTATTTTGATCATCTTCTACCTAATTCATTTAACTTTAACTAGTAGTTTTTCAAAAATATTAAATTTTTTAATCTATTAACTGAATAAACATCAACATTTTAAATTTTCTTTGATTCTATTATATAAGTGATATTGTGTATAGAACTTATGGCGAAATTCCTCGAACCTAATTCCTAGTTTTCCCTTAAGTTTTTTTTTCGAAAGTTCAAATCAATATGGAAGATGCTGGGTATCATGATAAATCTCCTGATCGATCGAATCATGGATGGATCTGAATCTGTGAGTATATTTCCACTCTCCTTGAATTCGTAAGTTGGCGTTTGTGACATTCGTCAATTCACCCTTCCTGCTGCAATCTCCACATTTCTCTACGAGATTTGTAATTTGTTATTTCTAATATGAGCATTATGATTAATACAGTAAGATAATTTATATCTGAGATTTTTGACTCAATTATGCATATTTGTTAAGGGATAATATAAAGGTGAAGTAATTTAGTTATTTTAGATTATACTTTTAGAAGATTATATTCATCTACAATTTGATATTATAAGGCTGTTTCTTGATTCATGAATTAAATTATGGTAATAAATAATGGTAATATAGTATGGTATTTGAAGGAAATATTTGTATTAACATATAATAGGGTTTAATAGATTTTAATGTATTTAAAGGAGATATTTGTATAATTATTCTTCGGTATTAATGTTAACCTATCATAGGTTTTAATAGATTTTGAAAAAGAATTCACAATTATTTCTTTTTTCTTTTGTTATAATTTTCATCGTTAATAATAGGTAATCCAGTAAATTGATTACTATTAAATCAAGTAATTAATTCAGAGTGTACAATATAATTGATAAAATTGTCCCCAAATTTTTGGTTGGCTGTGCACAAGATGGTTTAAAAGTAATCTAATTAAAAAATTTTAGAAGATTCTTAATCACCTCTCATAAGAGATATATATTCCCAACTATATTAAATTTAATTAATAATTAGAAGTATATTAAATAAAAATAAGATTGAAGATATGCTTAATATATAACTAATTAAAAGTTACATTTAAGAGTTACTTTAAGTTCGAGACGAAGAGGATGATAATAAAACATATTTCGAGTGGTTGGCAGAGGTGTTATTAAGAAAATAGAATTCTTCCGCAATGCCAAGTAGGTGTTCAAGGCCTCGTTGTTAATCTGAGACTAGTGTTGAATCATCCATAAAGGTGAGATGGGATAGATAGCTGTGAAGAAGAAGATGGAGCGTGTAAATGAATTTTCTAAATGAAATTTTAGGGTGAGGCTCATTATTTGCATAATATCCTTGATAAATTAGTGGTTTTATATACCCAAGTTCAAACTCATCACTTCATCCATTTCATTTAAGTCGTGATTTCAAGGTCATTGTTGTTTGACTTGCCTAACGGTAATTATTAAAACCAGACATAGATGTATAATAGGTGTAAAAGTTGTTATGATGACATTCAATTCTGAAAGTTGGTATTAAGAATTATACACAACAATGTGATGTTTATCAATGAGTCAAAGAAATTTATTTGAGTTGAAGTAGCAAGTTGAATGTGATATATAAGTAGGACGTAGTATATACACTATAATAAAAGGAATATGGCTGTGCCCCGATCAATTTCAAGTTAAAATCTAATATAGAGTATGATTGATTTAGATTGAGATAATCAATATTATTATTTGGTAAATATGCATAGACATATGCTTGCTCCATATAAAATATATTAGGTCAATATTAGAATATTTTTTCTTTTATCACATTTTGATATTTGAAAGTTGATTAATGATAGCTTTTCATCCTTATTTAGGGAAACATTGTTAAATAATAGGTATTATTAGGATTTGTTGTTATATCAAAAATGTAGTGATGTTCTTATTATGAATTTCTTATACCATAGGATGTTGTTTAAATAGTTACATGACATGTTAAGTGTTTAAAATTATTTCATGTCTGTCTTTAGTTTGTAAATTCCTTTTCAGAAGAGAATCCATTAATAACTTTAGTTGCTGTTGATGAATTTATCCAATGTAATTCTTGTTAAATAATTTTATATTTTTTTTAGAGTTTCAATAGTCATTTATAAGACAATATTTGAAGAATTCCACCGCGTTGATGAATCAAAATATAGATTATTAAGGTGAATAGGATGTTGAATTGTTTTCTAGTATGTATTTAATTCATATCATCATTCAATATGTTGTTGGATCATAATTTCAATCAATGTCATGAGATCAAATATCAAGTCATTTCAACATGATGCATCAAATTGTACTGAAATTCTTCTTGAAAGACTAGTTGTTGATCAATACATTTTCCATGGAAAATTTGGTATAATTATTCAACATGGTCCATGCATCATAGATCTTTTAACAGTATATAAACTTTACATTTTTCGTTTTCAAGAGTCATATTGTTAGAATCATATTGTTACCACCAGTTTTCTATTGGTTTGTGATAAACAATATTGAATTGTTGAATAAATAATGCAACATAATAATGGCGACCTCGTGATTTAATTGTGTAAATTGTTCAATATTTTAGTATTTGAAGTATGAATTATTTGAAAATATTAAATTAATAATGGCAGTAATTGATGAATGTATTGGAAATTTTAAAAGTAATAATGGTAAATAATAATAAAATTAATACATATACTTCATGTTATCGATTAGTTATATTTATTTAAATTTTATTGTTATATAATAAGGAGTTGATGTAGTAGTATATTGATATATAAGTCTATAATATTGAAGTAGAAAAAGTTTATGCATAAAAATATTGATTGAATAAAAATATTTATAACTAATGTTAAATTTTTGAGATAATGTAATAAATTTATTTTATTGATAAGTTGACAAGATTCGTAATACACGTAAAAAAATTAGATTGTAAATATGTATTTATAATTTTCGCTATTTTCGTTTTCATTGTTAATAATAGATTAAAGTTTTGCGAGATTTTAATATAAAATAAGTTGAAATATCAATGATTTATAGTTGTTGACTTTTTAATATTTTAAGATATCGTTATTTAAATATTTGTGAAATAGAAATAAAATTTTAAAAATTTGGTCTTTTTAAAAGTTTCGATACATCTAAAAAAAAATATGAAAAAAGATTTTTATTAAAAAAAAAAGAGATTATCGATCAAATTATCTATCTGGATCTCGAGTTAAAGGATTAATATGGCTTATTATAAATAAATTAATAAATAAATCTTGTCTAAGCCTCCTACTTTACCTGTTGCGGGAATTAGAGATTTTACTGCGGCGATGATTCAATTAATCATATCTACTGATATTGTTGTCTGTGTAACAATATTATTACAATTGGCTTTAATGAAATACCCCAAAATTTAGTCCAAAATTTTTTAGGCTATATAAAGTAAGATTCCGCAATTGCCGCATCACTGATTCGCATAAATTTTTAATCAAATTTGGGATAATGACTTTCGAGTCGGGATTTCAGATCTTTACTAGTCGTAGTAATAGATCCGTTTTGAATTTGAATCTTTTCATGCAATATTAAACATATTAATATCTTTTAAGAAGATAATAATAAAAATAATAATAAAAATAGAATATTGTTGCAAAAAGGTTTAAGAAACAAATTTAAGGTTTCATAAAGTTACATGTCATATGTCATATAATAATATCTTCGCAATTCAATTCTTTTGGATCATCATCTCCATTTGAGTAACCCAGGTAAAACGATCTTCCGTGTAACTTGTGTATATAAAAGGGTTATTAATCGGATTTGGTCCGTAAATTTATTCCTTCAAAAATAAAATTTTTTTCATGTCTCAAGAGGGGAATATAAACTCAATTGAATTAACCAATAATCAATATGAAGAGATATATAGAAATATTCAAGTAAATTTTCCAAATAAATTATCATTTAACGATCTTTATCAAAGTAATCATTCAAGAAATGGAAGATATAGAAATCGAACTTGGAGGATTCCAAATGCCTTTATTATCTTTAGAAGAGAATTACTTCTTACACTTTTTAAATATAAAATTTATAAAATAAGAGATTTATCAAAATTCGCATCTCAAAAGTGGTTGGAATTACCTGATGATATTAGACAAAGATATAAAAATTTTTGTGATGATGCTCGTGAATATCATGATTATAGAATTAGAACTCCTACTTATCAGTTAATTAAATTCTGAAATCAATTTATAATTTGTTCATGTTTTTTTTAGTACAATTTATTGTTATTCATGTTTTTTGATAAATTTATTATTATTTTATTTTCTTTTTTTTTCATTTTTTATTCGCCAAAATTAGTCCCCCTACTACATAATATTGTGTCACGATCATTTGTTTATTATTATTATAATTTATTTATAATAATAAATCACCATATCCAATAGTTTTCATTATAATTTGTAATGTCGAACTTTTTAAGTGATTTTTTGTTATACACGATCTAGTACCCTTCTCATCGTACAACGGGACCATCATTTGTTATACAATATCTCATGTGATAGATTACAATAGGTAAAATATAATCTTAATTTTATTTCGTTTATAGTTTAGCAACCGTAATTATAATTTCGTTGGCATCTATGAGGTATAAAAATAGATTTTTTTTTATAATTAATAATTATATCCAATAAATCGCGAAAGTTTATCGCCAGATTATTCGAAGAAAAGAATAATTTTTTTATGTTGTCGGTTTAATAGTCCAAAAATTTTTCTTGACAATAGTAATTTGAGTTTAAATGATCGGCAATACAAAGTGCCAATTACATCATAATGATAAAAAACCGGTTTCTTATTTTATTTTCCTAATTTATTTAAGGATAGAAAAATTAAGGTTAGGGTGAGAAAAAAAAAATGTAAAAGTTTGTTTGTAAACGTAATTATATAAATAAAATTTCGAGAAATTTATATTGTAAAAATAAATATTAAAAATCTTTTGTTTATTTATTATTTACGAAAAAAAAAAAAAGCTAAAAGAGTAGAAAGTTCTGAAATATAAATGTTACACTACTTCAAATTCTAATATAGTGTTTCAGATGTTACCATATAAAGTTTCCAGATAAATCGGTTTTACCACAGCTCGTGACATACGAATATGTTAAGTTGATGTTGGGAAAAGTTAAAATACGTTCAGTAATCGTTCCATGTAATCAACTTAATTAGATTTACAATATATGGGATATTCGATAACAATTTTTGAGCATTTTACTTAAACACATTACTGCGGTAGAATTTTAATTGTCTCTTCGAAGACCCTATGATTAATTGATTTAATTATATTTCGTATATGCTACTTTTTCAACAAGATTGCAACGCGAAATATGTATTAATTTTATTTAATATATATGTTGTGCCTCAGATTGATTCTTGCCTCAGATTAAAACTACCAATAGGATGTGACGAATTATGTATATACACGTGATGATCTACATAGTAAAATTACCATATATGTAATGCACGTGATCTGGTGTTGATCTCACGCAGCGTGAGTTTTAATCTGAGGCAAGAATCAATCTGAGGCACAACATATATATAGTTGAAAAATTTTCTTGTGTAACCGATAATGTTTAGATTAACTTGCATAAATATTATTGAATTGTGATTCGTCTGTGCGTATGGGCCGATTTTTGGAATGCTAATCAATCGACACACCTGACACACCTCGTTTGCTATAGATCGGGCTAGGCCTTTCTTGATCTATTCCGAGGATTATTATGGTTTGCATATGTGTAGTTGTGTACGTTCCGATGGGCTGCGGCCGATCGCATCATCCAGATTTTAAAATCTTTTTTTCGGTCGTTCTTTTATTAGACCGGATCTTTTAACCGAAATTTTAATACATTCCGGTTTTTTATACTAAATATTTTTTTTTTATTTTTTTTTTATTTATTTTTTATACATATTTTTTTTATTACCGTATTTTGCGGTTAGCAAGCACCCCGAAAATAAGCAACCCTGGCCAGAATTATCAGAATTGTGCAATTTTGGCCAGAATTATGAGAATCCTGGCCGCCACGCCATAATTTATATATGTATACCAGGTATATTATCGTTATCAGTTATTATTTATTTCGTCTTTTAGGCTTTAGATCTGGATACTACTATCCTAGATCGTCTTACAGTAAGCATTATTTTTTTATTTTTTTAATAATTTTTTTATTTTACTAATTTTTTTCTATTTTTCTTTTTTTCGCTCTTTCACCTGATCAACGATATAATTAAAATAAAAACGTGTTAATATTATATAAGATCTAATTTATTTAAATATAAAACAAAGATTTTATTGTTATATTGATTTTAACTTATTTAGTCCTGTCGCAACGCAACATGCTACAGCTAGTATATATTAAACTTATTCAAAAAATTTATCGAAATTACTAAAACGGTGAATAATATGACAAAGTAAACAAAGTAAAATATAACATTGCGCATTAATCTCTTTTTAATAATTTCATCATATTTATAACTCTTAATAACTCTTATCCTAATATTGGTATACCAGCAAATTTTAAAGCAGATAATTTTGAAGTTTTTCAAGTAATTAACATTTGTATTACTATACCACGTCCCATTAAAATAACCACCTCCACCAAATGCATTATTATAATACGTCCCACTACCAAAACATAAATCATTACCTCCACCAAATGCTGGTCCATAACTTGAATTACAACTTATAGAATATGTATTACCGTTACTATAACCTACTTTTGCGCTTTGAAGGTTATCCTTATTTAAAAGTGAGAATAATAATTTTGCACTTTTATGGTTATCTTTATTTGTAAATGAGAATAAGAAACTATCATAAGTAGATTTAAATGTGTTACTTGAATCCCAAAAAAGTGGATTGTATCCTCCAACTATTTTCTCCGAATTTGCGATTTTTATCACAACTATAGTAGCTCCTTTATTATCACATTTTTCATGAAATGCAGTATTTGTATAACCATCCCTACTGGCACGGTAAATTAAATTAAAATCATAAGGAATATTTTTTTCATTATAATAATACTGATTTTTCTTTTCTATCCAACTAGAAATAATAGCAAATTTTTTCTTATTAATTATAGAATCATAAATAATTTTTGGTTTCCTAGGAGGTTGTATATCAACATTTAATCGTTCACTTGATGCCATGTGAAATACAAGTACATTATCAATTAAATCTTCTGGTATTATTTTTTTAAAAGGGTATACTTTTGTAATAAAATCTGCTGAAGGGATATGATAAAATCTTATTAATGGAATAAATCTATGAATAATTCTTTCCATGGTCATTAATTCTTCTTTATTCCACTGTGTAGGATCTTTTGAAATATTAGAATGTTGAGCCAAGCACCATTTAATCAAACTTTCCCATATAACAATTTCATCCAAAAACAAATGATCCCTTTTTAAAAGTAATTCTAATAAAGGCATTTTTAAAGTTAAAATTTTATCAGATTTAAATAATTCTTCTGGTTTAGCACAAATTTCTTCAAGACAATAATCACATAAATCTGAGAAAATATCATTCTGAATAACTTGATAAACGGTATCAAGTATTTCTATAGGATTTTGTTTTAAAAATTCACGATGTTGAATCAAATATTCATTAATATAAAGAATCAATGTTTGAATTTTGAGTTCATCTACTGCTATCAAAAGTTTTAAAACCTCCAATATTTGTAATTTCGTCAAATCAATTTTTCCACAATAAATAAACCTTAAGTATTAAAAAAAAAAAATATTTAGTTATAATTGACAATTAATTTCATATATATGTATACACGATTTATTTAAAATTTACCTTAAAATAATTTTAAAAAATTGAGGAGAAATGTTAGGAATAATAAAAATAAAGTTTCCATCCTTTTTCTCAGTTAATTCATTAGAAAATGCCGTACGAAAATATTGAGATCTAATACGTAAAATATTTGAATGTCCGTGTATTATTTCTACATTTTCATTTTCGCCCGCATGAATAATAACATTATATTCTTCATCAGATTCAAGTAATTTTTCATAATCGTTAATAACTTCTTGAGACTGTTCAAAAGACATGTCATTTTTTTTTTTTTAAAAAAAAAAAAAAGAAAGTTTTCGAGAAACTAATTTGTATTACACAATCAATTACGATGAAATATAATTGGAAAATCACATGAATAAATATTTATATGCAGTATGTCAATCACATGCCATAAATCTCAGCCACACATTGGGTTGGATATTCGACCATTAGACTGACGAATTGCGTCATAATTTATTAACTGTTAATGTTTTGATAATTTATCCGTAAATTAAGCTTTCAATCGCAAATAATATTTACGAATATACTCCTTAAATAATCTTAAGTAATAAAATAATAAAGCTAAAAAAAAGATATTTATTTTTAGCATTCTGAGAATATCGTTAAAAAAAAGTAAGTTTAGATGAAAAAATAGTGAATTCAGATTTTTTTTTTTTTTGATTTCAAACCTTATTCGTAAAAGTCAATAAAGTATCTATCTAAATACAAAATAGAAAAGAAAACAAAACAATATAATCTAACTATATACATAAAACTTACGACACTAAGCGCGTCTCTGCGTCAAGCGACACTTCATAACTCCACAACTAACGAAAATGGCTTTCTCTCGTCAACTAGCTACATTCACAGGTCGAAGAGATATGGTTTGCATGAAGTTTATACTATTAAAATTTGGTGGAAACCTGTCCAATTTCCATGGTTTAGGCCAGATTTCAATGAAGTTTCTGGAAATGTTATGGAAATATTATGCAAACTGGACAAGTTTCAATCATAGTGGAAACCATACCACTTTGATCAGTGATTTCATCACATGCTCCGCAGTTATGCAATTTTTTTTTTTGTCTTTTTGCGTTTTTGCATCTAAAAACCGTGTGGACCCTAACCTACTTATCAGACAGATACTCGATCTAAATAACGCATTTCATTCCTTGACAGTCTACGCTTGATCAATCACGAAAATTTAGCAGCGAATCCAAAGAGCCTAACTCCAGACGGTGTTATTATACTGTATATACCCTACCGATGACAGCATGTTAGATAACGAAGAATTTTAATGATAACGATTTGGAATAAGAAATGAAGTAGCCGTAGAGGTTGGAACCGGTTCTATTTTCGAAAACCGAATTTAAAACGGGTGCAACTGGTTCAATCTATTTCAAACCGGTTTGGCAAAATCCGAATAACCGATTTGCGCTTCTGGTTTATATTTGATAATTCTGGCCTGAATTAAATGTGATCGGCATAAATCTGGCCAAGTTATAATTACTATTTTGGCCGTGGTCACGTGATTTAAATTATTTAAATTTCGTAATTCGGGCCAGTAGAAAGTTTCAATATCAAACCGGGTTGAGTATTCGGTTGCACCCGCTTTAAACGCAAACCGGTTTTCGTAATATGAATCTGGGTTAAACCGAATCATCAAAAACCATTTGTAAACCGGATGTACCATCAGCAAACTCTAATTTGGATTAATTTAGCAAATTCGTATACTTGATGAAATGTATTGCGGTATTTCAGTTATTGATTTAGTTGAACATCAATTTGCTAATTTTTATCATTGATTATTTTCTTAGAATTTTTTTAACAACGACTTTTTGTTCTTTCTTTAGTTATTGGATTTTTTTTTTTGATCAAAATTATTGAAATTGATATATCATGCAATTTAATATACAAATATCTATTTGTTTCTCTTAATGGAATTTTTATAATTTTTTTTTTTAATTTAAAAGTATTTTAATGTATACTTTATATAAAATTGTCTAACTAAAAATATACAAATATGTTAAATGCGAAGTTTATATCTAAGCAGCATTTTTACACTTATTTAAATTAAATAAAATACATAAATCTATACAAATTTATATGAAGTAAAGAATTTTATATATATTTAATTAGTATATAAAAATATTTGTATAATGTTTATTTATCTAGTATAAATAAATTATACGTAAATTTACATTCAAAATCTCGACAGTCACTTGCACGACTAACACAAGACCGACAACAAAGTCTCGACAATCAAAATCTCGACAATCCAAAATCCCGACAAGTCATTATATCGTTCAAATGATTTTCAAGATTTCGTACCAAAACCGTTAGAAAAATTTCCATGATTTATCCATTAAATTGATACATTCACGGAAAAAACATGGAAAGATAAAACACGGATCAGATTTTTTACAGGGATAGATGTAAATTGGCAGGATAAACAATTTTATTAAGGAAATAAAATTTGTGCGCACCCGCGCATGTGCGCACCCCTCCATTTTTGGTAATTTTTATATAGTAAATTTGTCGATCATTAATTATCACGTGATTTTAGTAAAATCCCGATTTTTTTAAATATTCATGCCGCAACTCTCACGTACATATTATAGAGCCTTAAAAATTTATTTACTATGCGTATTTTTGCCTATTCTACAACTTTACTTAATGAGCCATGAAGGGTTTAGAATGTCATTTTTGACTTTTATATATAATATATCCATGGGGTGCGCACATGCGCAGGTGCGCACAAATTTTAAACCCTTATATTAATTATCCAAATAAATTTTTTTGTATTCTTAAAATTTTTGTTAAAATTTTTTGATTAAACCCTAAAGAATCTTTTTTTTATTACCAATTAATATTATTTAGATATATTTTTGAGGTTGTAAATTTGCTTTTTTTAATTGAAAAGCTACTAGTTAAATATGATAAATTTCCTAATATTATAGTGATTATAATGGTAGTCATTGATGTTTGAATTTAGTATAAAATGCTAGAGTTTAAATTTGGTGTCAAAGCTTAATTTAATAAATAAATTATCAAAATTCAAATATAATGATAAAATGTCAAAGTCTGAATTAATAAATTGATTAAACAGAATAAATATTCTTTCTACATGTAAATAGCGTTAAAATAAATGTTTACACAAAGTATTTTTCAAAAAAATAAGTAAGGTAAAAAGTTCAAAATGTTTTTATAAAATAGCATATTTTTTTAACAATCTTCTTTGGCCAGATGTAACCGAATGAAGCAAAGTTCATAATTTTTCAAGTTTATAAAAATAAGAACAGTTTATTATATTATGAAAAAGTATGTCACGTTTTGTCGATGTGATTCCTTTAACCTGAAAATTTCGATTTTTACCAAATTTGGGCCGGCATTATAAATTTGGCCAGAGTTAAGAAAATTTTGGCCAGAATTATAATTTAGGAATTTTTAACCGGTAAATTAATTTAATTAATTTTAGCCAAATTGAATTTTACATATCAACAATTTATATTATATATCTCTGCCGATTTCCCGACATGGCCACTGTTCATTTCATAAGGAATATCCTCTCAAAAAATATGAAATAGCAATTGCAATTTCTAAATTTTTTTAGATAATTATATTACAATATTTACTTCATCTTTGATTAATAAAAATAATTAGAATATATTAAACAAGCAATTCAACAATACAATATTAAAATATAAATTTTGTTGAAATGAGACAAATTTCTTTTTTTTTTTTCAGAAAAATAAATTAAATCATTAAAGAATTAAATTCTTGTTTTAATTAAGATTATTATTAATAATTAATTATGTATATAATACATATAAAAATTGAGTTTATGTATAATCATGTGTGAGGAATATAATAAATATTCATGTATATAAAATTCAGTAAACTTATAATAATTTCAATCAAACAACATTATACCTATTTTATCACAATTTTTTTTTTTAAATTAAGTCTAACAATGTATAAGCAAATACCATTATAATAATAAACAGTTTGGATTTTACTATCATTACAAAAAAGTCTTACAATATATCAATTCTTACTAGTGAAGGCTGAATCCAACAGGAGAGAATGAAATCTAAAAATATATAGTATATAATAAAATAGGTTAGAAGACTCGAGTACTCTAAGTAAGCTTTGTAGAAAAGACAGATTCAAGCCCCCATGCCTACTATCAACTGACATTAACGATATATCGTGAGTGATCAAACTCGTGCAGAGGTACTGTCATATTGCTTGATAATAAGACATGAGACCCACCACCAAAGGGACGGGCCCCACATACAGAAGTCTGCGACATAGCTTGAGATATTTTTATTCTCATTGAAGGTAACCAAACTTCTAGAAGAGGAGGATAACCAAAACACTCTAGGTGCACTTGTCCCTTATACATCCCAGCTTAGCCATTTCCACTTACCAGAATAATAAAAATAACTACTATTCAGGCTTGACTTTATTTCGGTTTTTAGAAAAAAAAAAATATGCTGAATAACCGTCCGTAACTATCCACAACTCACAACACTTTTAACTAGAAGTTGCTTAGGATATTTATTTTAATAATTTTTATCTCTAAATAGAAATTAGTAGGCAAAAATAGCTTGACTAGGAGTAGCCGAAAGTATAAGATACTTATATTTCTAAACGGAGAGTTAATAAGAAAAAGCTACAAATTATTAATAAATGTTAGAGACTAAGATAAAAAACTATAAGTATTTTAAAAAAAATACGTGTAAAAGAAAGAAATTTTGTGTAGGAAAAAGGAAAAAATGATTATTTATACTTTTATAGAAAATATTTCATGCGAAAATTTGTTTTGAGTTATTGTTATGGTCGTGGCGCGCATAAAGTATTAAACACAAGCCTATCTATTGATCATAATCACAATTTGAGATTCCGATGTATGATTTTCATCATTTGATCATTTGATAGTGAAGTAATTTTAAAAGAATTGCATGTGCTTTTTCCGATATAGATCCAAATCGTTAACTGTTCGTTTGTTTATAATTTAGATATTTGACATCGATTATTGTTGTACATACAATAGATATCTATTTTACATTATGCCTTTGAGGTTTGATAAACAAATTTTATATTTATCTTTGATTATAATAGGACCCCGAAATATATATGTAGAGGTCAGGTCCAGAAGTGGTCCAAAATACGCATTCTTTCAGGGCCGGAATTACGATAAATTCAGCCATTATCTAAATTAGGAAATATTATTTTGGCTGGGATTATCCATAAAAGGAATGATCTACATGATTTTTTTGACTCATTATACGCAAACTCTGACCTGACCCTTTTATGTATATTTCGGGGTCCTATTATAATCTTTTGATAATCATTATTTCTTTATTTAGAACCCGTTATTACTAACTTGTATTGTATTAAATATACAAAATATTTTGTATACCGTATTAGTATTACCCGTATTATTTAAATATCTATGACATTCGGAAGAGTCACATTTTCAAATTATGATCAATAATAAAGGAATTATTTTATGTTTTTATATAGTTTTTAAGTTCATTTTTTTTTTAAAAAAAATTAATGTTACTATATTTATTCAAATCGGATAACCGCTATTCGGAACTTAATAATAATAATAAATTAAATTATTTGCACGAAGCAACCTAAAATATATAAAATAGCAAAAATTATATGCGCAATAATCTGGAAATTTTATATACATTTTATTATATTAAGTTTAAATATTGTAAATAATTTTATTATACAACGCCACTGTACTTCACACGCCACATTATTGCTTTTTCTAACAGAAAATTTTAAATCATTGTTGGCGTGAATTGTAACATGGGATTTACATAATTTATTTCCGTGAATTTCATTAATAAAAGCAAATTTTATAGCACGTTCTATTAGCCATAAATTCTAAGGTATATATTATAATATAGTATATATTATATATTTAAAATTATTATTATTAGTAGTTGATTAAACAATCTATTTCAAGATTTTAGTATGGAATTGTTGAAAAAAATATTCAGATCAAGAGACACTAGTAGTGTTAATAAATTATCTGAAGAAAGACTTATTGAAAAATGTCAATCTTTATAGATATCAGGTAAATGTAATTTTACTTTATAATTTATTACAAATAATATGATTTAACTGTTTAGTAAATAAAGAATATATTTTTGTTCTTTTATTCAAATGTACATGTTAAAATTTCTTCTGTTGATTCAAATAGTACCCTATCAGAAGAGATTGATGATAAAGTAATTTATATGGGAGACTTGGAAAAAAGAAAAAAAAATATATGGTATATGTGGAGAATGTAATTAACACAGAAAGATATTGGTGTCAACTTTGTATTGCAAAAAGATTTAAAGAAAATATTAAAAATTGGACTAGTAGAAATAAAGATATTGATGAATTAATACAACATTCACAACTTAATGCTCTACATCATACAAAATGTCTTGAATGGATACCTTTTGAGAAATTTCAAAATATTACAAATGTGATAAAATTTATTCAGCTGAGGATTTACTAGTTATTGGAATAATGAAAATCAAAAATGGTACAGATTTACAGAACAAAAAGTTGCATTAAAAAGTTTGGGTAATTCTTTGGATATTAGTACAGATTTTTTAAATAATGAGGTAATTAAATAAAAAATTTAATTTATTTTGCAATTGGATTATTTTATTTTTTAATAAATTTTATTTCCTTTAAAAAAATTTTTAAAATTAGATCAAATTTCACCTACAGATTTATTTGTGGGATATTGTTTTCTGTTATGGAGTAACTCAAGATCCAAATACCAAAGATTATATGATGGTTTTAAATTAATGTGAAGATGGAAATTTAAGAAATTTCTATTTAAATAAGCCTGAAAATGATATTAACAACAAAATTAAGAAATTATAAAAATTGCAAGCGGACTGTTAGATATCCATAATGCTGAAAATGTTTATAAAGACTTTCATTCAGTTATTATTTATTTAACATGTCAGCTATATTCATAAGTGATTTAGGAATGTGTAGCTAGCAAATAACGAAAAAAGATTAGATAAAAAAGGAGTTTATGAAGTATTACCTTATATGGCACCAGAAGTTTTACGTGGATATCAATATACAAAAGCAGCTGATATTTATTCATTTGGAATAATTATGAATGAGTCTCTTTCTGAAGAAATTCCTTTTAATAATATTCCTCATGATTATACTTTAGCTGTTAAGTATGTAAAGAAAGGATTTAGACTGAAAATTTCTGAAGATATTCCAGCATTTCTTGTGGATTTAATTATGAAATTTTGGGATGCTGAAGCAAAAAAATAGACCAAATTCTAAAGAGTTATACCATAAATTAAAGAAATGGGAAGAAAAAGAACATAAAGATGATAAATCCGTTCTCAAATTGAAGAATATGATAAAACTAGAAAAAGAAAATTGAAAAATAGATCAAATGGAAATAAGTCTGAAGGTATTAAAACTCATACCCGAGCAATTTATATCAGTAGATTTTTAAATTTTAAAAATCTTCCAGAACTAATAAATTTTTCAGATTTTCACCATTTCAATTTAATTCAGGTACTAAATGTTTTATGTTAATTATGATTTATTTATAATTTTAATTTGTATTCATTCTTTAATAAAAACAGTTGGTGTACTATTGTATTTACAGATTTTAATTTTATTTTAACTCTACAATAATCTACATTGTTTAATTTGTAGTTTCAGATGTCTTAATGTTCAAATTAGCGAATTAGGCAAAATAATTTATTTGTAGGGATTTATTTCTTTATTAGGATATAAAAATGACAGTATGATAGCATTACTAGTATTTCTGTTAATTTGTGTAACAAATGAATCTGTTTTAAGTTAAATCTTTGCTTACTCATAATAAAATGAAATCCAAAATCTCTAAAGAATTACTAACTGAATTTTATCTGTTTAAGCCTAATATCATGCATAAATTAATAAACTTATCAAATTTGGGGTTATTGAATATTAAAATGATTTATTAAGTTTTACATATGTAACATGTGACATTTTTATTACATGTTTATAATACAAAATTTATTTTAGAATAGATTAGTTAGTTATAGGGTTAATAAATTTTAATTGTTTACCTCTATGTATTTCTAAAATCAATGTAAATCTATGTTAAATTGATTTAATTAATAAAGAATGCGTTATTAATCTCAAAAAAAAAAAAAAAGTTGGGCGTGTTATATAAACCAGAATCGAAGCTCTAAGAGAATTAATTGAAATTTTGATCATATTAGTTAATTAACTAAGAATACATATTATAAGACAATTAATATTTTTATGAATAATTAAATATTACACGCATGCGATGACTATTATGATGAGTCAATATTAAACGATTTATAAATAATAAAAAAAAATTATTATTTTTTTTTATTTAATAAAAATGAGTATTGAAAACATACAATAACCATAATTTCACTTTGATAATTGTTAATATAGAATACAGATTAACTGTAAGGTAATGAGTTAATTTTAAAATTGCATAATTGCATAATACCGACTTTAAAGAAAGAGAGCTTAAATATTTATGTACTCTCACGTAGTATATATTCCTAATTAGATTAGCATACGCACAAGTCCCTTTCCCATGTTTTTTTTTTGTAACTATCAAATACTATGTTTTCAGCAAATTATATTTAAGTTGAGAGATAAAAGCTATAATATTATTAACGGTAAATAAGACTTACGTGTAAAAATTGACCAAGTAAATAATATTAGAATACGAAATTGTAGAATTTTAAAGCCGCATTTTATAGTTTATTGTTTTCTATGGGATAATAATCATTTTATGATAAAAGAAAAATATGAATAAATTAGATAAAATTCCAATGCAGAATTTTTACAATTTTGATATGAATTAGTTTACTAAATGATATGAATTAAATGATTAAAAGTAAAAAAAGAAAAATTACAATTTGTATGATCATTGATAATTATAATGCAGCAGAAAGTGAAATTTAATAATAATGACAATCAAATTAAATATTGAGATTAAACGTTATTATTAACAAAATTGTATATAAAATTTTTATGGTTGATAATTTCATGTCATTAGAAATAAGAATGATTCACTAACCATGAATCATATTAAATTTATTAAATTTAAAAATTACCCACCAATTTAGTTAATGAATCTGTACGTTAATTTTGTAAGTATAACGCTACCCCAATAGATTCTCCTAAATGTTGATAAACAATTATAAGAATTCCAACTGGATTTTGCACAATAATTCAGTTCGATGATCAATTAAAATTTATTAAATGCAGGAATTCAATGAGTGAATATTAATCTAACCTATAATTATCAATAATTTTAATACATCTGATTCTTGTGATTATATTATACGATAAATGGACCGTCCCTTTGTTCAACCATTCGTTAGAAAATGCAGAACAAAATATTGAGTCCTAGTACAATAAATATTTGAATAAGCAGACATGAATCCCTTTAACATTTTGTTATTCTACTGCATAAATAATAATATCATGTTCAATTTCTGTTTAACAAAATTTTCATAATCCTTAGATAACACTTTCAAAAATTTTAAATAGAACCAAAGCCTTATTTTTATTAATTTATGTCGAAAATTTTATTAAAAAGGAAATTATTAATGCATAAATTGTTTAAATTTAAATTTTCATTCTTAGTAATATTAAATAGTCAGTATAGATTATTTATTATATAAATATAATTCTGACAAATATAATATATATACAAATGTAAAATTTTCAAAATAACTTCTACTTTCATACTGTCCATTAATAGAGATGGGCGTTAATTAACCATGGTTAATTAACCGTTAATTATGTTACTTATAATTAGTTTAAAATGGTTAATTAACCGTTACTTTAAATCAACCAATAAAAATGCAGAATTTAAGTCATGTGATTTTAATTATAATTTGATAATTATTGGTAAAAAATGGTATAGTCTGTGATAGTGATAATAGTACTATACTTGAATTTGAATCAAATGTAATAAGTTTAGATGATGAAGAATAAATAAAATATATAAGATTTATTATAATCATTTTAATAAATAAATAAATTTCATTGTTTTATTTTATTATTTATAAAAAATAAATATATTAGTTAACTATAGGTTAATTAACCGTTAATTAACCGTTAATTAACCAGTTAATTAACCAAATTTATAATTAACCGTTACTTTCCCATCCCTATGTCCATACTGATACATACCATAAAATACACCATACACTAATTAGTTGTAATCGTACTGTAAAATAAAAGTCCGTTTTAGAAACAATGTAAAAAAATCTAAGTATATCAATTTCAAAAGATCAAAAACTCTAACATTTTAAGAGGCATTAAAATACTCCATGTACTGTGTTGAATCTTTTTTAGTAACCTAACATAGATTAGAAATATACCATATAATATATATATATATATATATAAGAACATTTAGACGACATTTTATATAAAGAATTATATAAATATATACATCAAAATTGAATAGCAAAACTAGTTATTTCTTAACAACTTGAAAAATTTCATAGTCATCCGCTTCAAAAATCTTTCTTGGTATACCAATTTCGGGATAAGAATGAGTATTATATTTCTGGCTATGCCAAATCCCTTCATAAAAATATAAATCAGTACCAAAGACCACGCCATGATCTGAAAAGTAACCTATAGAATACTTATTATTATTACTATAACCTACTTTTGCACTTTGAAAGTTATTTTTTTCTGTAAATGAGAATAAAAAGCTATCTTTCGCAGACACCCATAAGTTACTTGAATTCCAATCCAATGGATTATATCCTCCAACTATTTGCTCCGAATCCGTGATTTTTATCACAACCATAGTAGCTCCTTTTTTATCACATTTAATATGAAAGTCTGCATGCGTATCACCATCCCTACTAGCACGATAAAGTAAATTAAAATTATATGGAATATTTCTTTCATTATAATAAAAATGATTTTTCTTTTCAATCCAACTAGCAAGGATAGCAAAATAACTACCATTAATTATAATAGAATCATATTTAGGCATTCTAGGAGGATGTAAATCAATATTTAATTCCTTATTTGAATTCATATGAAATGCAAGTAAATTATCAATTATATCTTCAGGAAGCAACGCTTTAAAAGGATCTACCTTTAAAATAAAATCCTCTGAAGTTATGTGATAAAATCTAATTAAAGGAATAAATTTGTGAAGGGTTCTTCTCATAATTGTAATTTCCTCTTTATTCCATTTCTTAACATTTTGTTGAATAGAAGGATGTAGAGCGAAACTCCATTTAATAAGATTATCCCATACAACAACTTCATCTAATAATAAATCATCCCGTTTCAAAAGTAATTCTAATAAAGGTTCTTTTAAATTGATAAATTTATCCAATAATACAGCTGGTTTTTCACAAATTTTATCAAAACAATAATTCCATATATCAGTGAAAGCTTCATTTTGATAAGCAGTTTCAAAAATTTCTATGGCATTTTGTTGTAAAAAGTCGCATTGGTGTTTAATCAAATACTCCCTAATACATTGAATTAATGTTTGAACATTAAGTTCATCCACAGCTATTAAAAGATTTAGAATTTCTGGACCTTGTAATTCCGTCAAATCGATCTTTGCACAATAAATAAATCTAAATATCAAATATTACATTAATAATCATAAAATTATTGTTATATTCAATTTTATAAAAAAAAATCTCCTTTATTCTTTTCTTATACTGTACCTTAAAATAATTTTTAATACTTGAGGGGAAATATTGGGTTTATTAAGTATAAAATTTCCATCTTTTTTATTTGCCCATTCATTAGAGAATGCTGCACGAAAATATTGAGACCTAGTACATAAAATAAGTGAATGTGCATGAATTTCAACTTCATCTTCACCAGCATAAATAATAACATCATATCCTTTATCAGTTTTAAATAATTTTTCATAATCATTTATAAGTTCTTGAGAATATTTGATCGACATTTCCATAATGAAATTTTTTTTTTTGCAGTGTGGCAAGTGGGTATATATAACAAATAACATGGTTACACCATTATCAGAATGCGGAATTATACAGTATTTGTCTGACAATATATAAATGGGTAACAAGAAATCGGCACTTATTTACTGCCGTAGAATTATCCAAAAAAGGAAGGATCTACACATTATTCTGGTTCATTCTACGCAAACTTTCCTTTTTTTGTATTGTTGTAGTACATCAATTAAGTCTTGTTTGTCTCTTCCCTTTACTTTTTCACTACGCCATAATGGCAAACTAACAAAATAAAGTACAAATAATGTCTAAATGTAAATAGTATTGCTTTAAAAAAAGCGCTTAAATGCCGAAATGAACTAAAACAGTTCGCTCAATAAATAAAAGCTTGATCCAGAAAGGATAATTAGCTATAGTAATATCACTGAAGCCATATATATATAACTTCTTAATTTCCTTAAATAATAGAAGTGTCTTACAAAGGAGAAAAGAAAAGCTAAAGATGAATCTTTGTATTAAATTTTCATCTTTTCTTGATTTTTTTTTAATAAAGGTGGATCGTCAAAGAAAGTGAAGTTGCTCGTTACATAATCGCATCTATCTCAGAGGGTGATATCAGGTACAATGAAATTATTTATAATTTAACTAACTAAATCCTTTATTTAAAAAAATTATTTAATAATATAGGGAGTAAATTATTTATTTAATTCTATGATTACTTACTTATATAATATTTACACATAATTTAAACTAACTAAATTCTTTATTTAAATAGATTGTAAGTTATAAGTTATTTATTTAATTCTATTAGTTTCATCTTATTGGTAAATGTATTTTGCTTCAGCGGTTGGAGAATTCTTAAAATCGCAAAATAAGAGATTCAAATGTTGAGCGTAAAAATGATTATATTTATTGAAAGTGATGAAGAGAGAGATATTTATGAGCAGATCTACTTATATACATGGAATCTTGGACAAATTACTTATAATTTTATACAGTATATATTTGAATTTTGTGTGTGGTTCTAATCGTATTTTAATCTTTATTAAATTCTAATTACATTTAAGGCCCAAAGAGTTGTTAGAAGAATTACCAAAAAACCATTTATAATTAAAAAATATTCTAAAATTTCAAACCACTGACACTAGAAAATAGAAGAATGATGGCAAAAAGTGGCAAGATTTAATAATAATAAAATGTATTGTGAATGATAATTAAACTTTATATCAATTTAGGGGTGTTAAATTAAATCGATTACAGAGATTTTGTAGGTTTATATACAATTATTCATTAATTGACGATTCGCGAGTCAACTAGAGAAAATTACATACAACAAGCAATCAAGCAATATACGTCATACTTTATTTCCTAAGCCATCAAGCATACAATTTTTTATTGGCGAACTTTACCTTGGAGACATGTGGCATTTACTAATCATAATTTTAAATGTTTTAATTAAATTTCCTCCTAAACTTTAACCCTGATTTGTAAAAAATATAATATATTTAAAAAAATTTTATTTTCAGGATTTATTTTTTTTGCAATATATAAAAAAATCATGTACTGTATATTGTTAAATCTGTGAATCATTACATGCTCAACTTCCCCAGTATCCCGCAGAAAAATTTCACATTGTGATATCAATCATTTTTTTTTTTTTAAAAAAAATTTAGTAACGTATTTATTTATTAAGGAATTAATAAAATTGGTTACATAATTATTATAAATACCTAGAAAATAATATAAAATAAAATTTCACATTATTTCCTATAACTAAACATAATCTATACTAAACAAAATGATCTAGAGTTTTATATTCTTTTTTATTCAAGATGTAATTGAAATTATTATTATAAACACCCCTTAGTAATTCCCATTTTCTTTTATATCTTAATAAGACCTTGAATCTTCTTATAAGATCTGAATAAATGCTATATTGAAATCTCCCAAAATTTTCAAATCTTCATTTTTGTTTTCATCAATCAATTTTTCTTTGTATTCATAAATCAATTGTTCTAATATTTCTTTATAATCATCTTTTTCTTTTATACATCTTGCATGAATTAAATTCAATCTAAAACTCTTATGATCCTTTATTATATCTAACTTTTTGCCAATTAAATAAGAATTTATAATAGAAGTATGATAAACAATTAATTGAGTTGAGTAATAGCTTCGCAACTGGTCAGCTATACCAATGCTGCCCATATATTTGTTGCAATCATCGATTAAGGCCACTCCAATTTAATAGTTTGTTTAACGTCCTAACTTTATATAAAAATTGAGGATGGGAGGGGGTCAAATTAAGTAAACATTTAAAAATAAATATATAAATTAATAACCTTTACTTTTACAAGTTTGGCAAAATGAATATATAGTAGTAAATTTTTCTTCAAGCTATCATCTGACTCTAATAACTCATTTTTTTCCCTACAATAAAAACAAATAATTTAATGATGACATGAATAATATACAGCTTCAATTGGACTACTACAATAAATTTTTTGTCTAACATAAACTTTTTTGTAAAGATTATGTATTTCAGGAGTTATAGGAAATCCACAAATATAAATCACATTATTTAATAAAATTTCTAAATTAGTTTTTTCTTTATCACTCTGCAATTTTACTAAAAATATATCTTGGTTTATTACAGATAGTGCAATTGATAAGTTTAAATATAATACTATTATTAATTGTACCACTAGAAATATAGATTCAGATGCAAAGAAATTTTTTTATTTATTTTTATTTATTTTTATTATGAAAACATAGATTCGGGAGATTCAAAGAAATTCTTTTAAACATTGTACAGATCGGCAATATTGTTATAAATCATGTGATATAACATATGTTTGTTTATCTTTAAAAATTTTTCAAAAACAAGGGGGTGGGGTACGTTAAACAAACTATTGAATTGGAGTGGCCTTAAACTTTGGAAATGGTAAAGATGGTATATTTTATCATCTATACTGTTAGCATTTCTTTCATATAGCACTATATGTTGGCAGTTCTTTTATTAAATTCTTAATCTTGTACGCTCAATCTCTTGTAACTTCCTCTGCATGCTGCCAAAAAGAAAACTTATTCCTATTACTAATTATTTTTAAAGTTCAAATTCATTCTTATGATTATAAAAAAATAAGTCTTCTATTTTTCTACTATTAAGAATCTCATTTCTTCAGTACATTTTTACCACCATTCTTTATAATCTACTTTAATTAAATTTCTTTTCCAATATAATTGTATTCCGTTATAATAAGCCTACTTCTACTATTTCAAATTCTCGTTTTTCCCAATTATTTTCATGCATCAAAACTTGCGATTTCCTCATCTCAGTTCTTCTTTATTCTTGAATTTTTAATTGTCTATCGATATACTCCATTATCTTCATTTTCATCTTTTTCATAAAAATTTCTATGAATATAAGTTCTATATAAAATGCATTATCTAATCTCCTTTTATTACTTAGATTGTTTATAAATTCTCTCAAAACTTTTATAATATTTTGATTCATCCCTAGAATAATATCTCTCCTATAATTAAACTGCTCAATAAAACCCTATATTCATTTTCATTATTAGTAACCATTTTTAGCTGTGATCCTTATTTCATTCTTCTCCTTTTCCTCTTTATTTAATATTATCCATATTTCCATTTTCCACCATTCTAATGGTTTTATACTTTCTTCAGCATCATTAGAATTCCAATATTTAGTAACTTCATCATCTACAACTTGCACATTCCTTGTTGATTTACTTTTGTAAAAATGATGAAGTTTTCATAGGTCTTACTGAAGTTGCAGGTTGTACTTGTTCCAATTTTTGTTGAATAGGTACCAATTAACCATATTTCTTTCTTCCGTTGTCAATTATTTCTAATTCCACAAATTAGCTAATATAATTTGATTATTTGGAAAAAAATACTAAATAATGATTTTAAAAAAAATTAATAGGTACTAAAATAAAAGAATAAAAGATAATCTGGTGACTTTTTCAGGGACTGCCAGATTGAGAAATTAAAGGGATAGATATGCATTAATAGTTTCAAGAAATCCTAAAGCTCTCTCATATATATCATTCTGAATTATTAAAATTTATAATATAACCTATTTAAAATTTAACTGATTCTGCAAATTTGATGTTAAATACTAAAGTAATTAGGCATTTTTTAATTTTTATTAATGACACTTTTTAGTGTAACTAATATTTCATGCTAATTATTTTCAATTCTACAAATTAGCCAACTATAATTTAATTATTTGGAAAAAAATCCTCTCTCATATATATTATTCTGAATTATTAAAATTTATAACATAACCTATTTAAAGTTCAACTGATTATTGTTAAATAATAAAGGAATTAGGAATTTTTTAATTTTTATTAATAACACATTTTAGTGTTGCTAATATTTTATACTAATTATTTTTAATTCTATAAATTAGCCAATATAATTTGATTAATTAGTCTGATTAATAGATATGCATTACTTCAAGCAATATTTGGCCCATGTTGAAAGTTTTCCTATGATTTTATCATATAATTAGAAACTTTTTAATAATTTTTCTCTAGTTCCGAAATGTTATTATTTTTAATTTCAATCTTATTAAGATGCTTTAGGTTTACATAATTATTATATAACCAACATGTGTTACAAGTGTTCCTAAATTACCCAAACAGAACAAAGATCAATTTTTTTTTTAATATAACCAATTATATTTAATCTACAAACTACAGCTGTGTTATAACTTACAAGTTATTTTTGTCATTCTGTGTCACAAACCAAAAACACAACATTTTAAATTTATCATTCTATATCACAAAACCATGGTTTTATATTATTGTTACAAGTCCTACAAGTCCTAACATTATGTCCAAGCCCTTTACAACAGCCACATTTATAACGTGTTGGTAAATTCATCTTTTTAGAATTTAAACTTGTTGGAGAGGGAGCTCTCTATCTTATAGAATTATCAAATTTGTAATCTATCTTAAAT